AGATGATGTCGACAAATTTTTAAAGGTGAAATTAATCCGAGCCGAATTAAGTAAAGACAAACGAGAACACGTTCCACTTGATTGTAAATGGATGCTGTGGCCGTGATGCTGTGTCGCAGGAAAGCCATGCTGCATATCTCTTCACTACATCGAACTCAACTACAGAATGCTGCCTCAGCTGATTCATAAGCCAGTTTCTGGTAAATAACCGATGTCCTAAATCGTACATGATAAGAAAACATACCATCAGAATTTTCTGAGCGACTTTTTTAAAAATACGGTAATGTGGTAAAATACAAGTAAATTACAGCCTATAAACGTCACACTACTGTGCACAGACCTCCTTTTTCTTGAGTGGGTTTAGTCCGCCGCGCTGCTCTAGCATGTGTTTTGCAGACTTCAGATATGTGTTCGAAATATTTTTAATCCACAGACACTATTTACTTCACCGCCGAGTTCACGGTAAATCACCACCAATTAATTATTTTACACATCTACACTCTACCACATTATTTCCACACGTCCCGGGGTGATTAGAAGAGAACGCCGAAAGACAATAAGTCAGCCCATTATGTAATTTATTGGCGGTGTGAGATAACCCACTACTCTGTATAATCCTTTGAGTGAAGCAAGAGACGACAGAAGGAAATGAGACAGCAGATGGGCAGCAGCATCTTCTTAATAAAAACAAAAACAGTTATTAAGAACTGCGGTTCAAACTGTGCCTTTAAAGCGAGGCAGCTATAGTATATCCTCTTCTCTACCCCTATAAGACTATCTACGGGAGAGGCCTAAGTTCTAGATTACATTGTTGATAGGGTGTAATGAAAATGAATGAATACAATGTAAGATTAACTGTTGTTTTTGTTACTTCACAAACACACACGCATATATGTGTGCATTTTCTTTGTAAATTCCGGGATCGATTATATCCAATAGATTGGATATCGCTTCAACACTAATAAACTGTTACTGCCATCTAGCGGTTAAAAGTTATAACTTTTACAACCAAGAGAATTACTAAAACGCAACGGCATGACACATTTACAGATGTCTATACCATTATTTAAATGAATCCATTGAGTTTATAAATTTTGTAATTTGACGACTTGATAGCGCAGTGACTATACGTTTAAATGCATTGATTGTAGGTTTAAAAACCGGCCAAGAGCGTGTTGAGCCACGCTCAGTGTAGGGTTCCGTAGTTTCCCGTCCTTCACAATAAGTGTTCCCACTTATGAGTGTAAAGGTGGGTATCCATTATGTTCGCGCTCCAGCAGCGCTCCGCGCTCCTGCAACTGCTCCCGGTAGTGGGTACGTGCGCGAACATGGAGCGTGCAACATTGCACGCTCCGCGACAGGCGATGCCAAGGAGAGACCAACCGAACAATTCGATAACCCGACCCAATGTAATAAGTACCTACAGCGCCATCTCTCAGGGAATTGGGTTACTAATTAATACATAGACGTGCCAGAAGTTTTCGGTGGTAATTTTGGATAATTTTTTAATAATTCTTTTTTTGTTTGAAAAAAGATACGTTCAGGATAATAAAATATGTAAACGAAGTTAAAAAAATTCCTGCTTATACGATTATACTACAAACTTAGTCCAGAAATTATTTTGGACAACTTTTTGTCTTTTTTGTACAAAAACTGTTTCCATCCAGGTTCAAAATAATTTTCCTAGAAAGTCCTTATAAAGTTCTACCTTTCAGATTTTTTTCATATTTTCTAAACCTATGGTTCAAAAGTTAGAGGGGGGGGGACACATTGTTTTTTACTTTTGGAGCGATTATTTCTGAAATTATTGACATTATCAAAAAATGATTGTAGTAAACCCCTATTCATTTTTAAATACCTTTCCAATAATATATCACACGTAAGGGTTGAAATTAAAAAAAAAATCACTTCCCACTTTACATATAGGGGGGCTACCCTAATAAAACATTTTTTTCCAATTTTTATTTTACCACTTTGTCGGCGTGATTGATACACATATTGGTACCAAATTTCAGCTTTCTAGTGCTAACGGTCACAGAGATTAAGCGAGGACGGACAGACGGACAGACAGACATGGCGAAACTATAAGGGTTCCTAGTTGACTACGGAACCCTAAAAAACAACAATAAAATATTCTGCACTTACATTTTGTAGGTTGATTTTACGAAAGAAAAACACATTTGTTCGTTAATTGGAAGCACAAAACGTAAATAACAATTATTATCATTAATAAAATATATAAAAATAATGAAAATATTAAAATAACTTACCAAGCTTTAAGCTAAATGAAAACAAAAATATATAAAAAATAACCTTTAAGAAAGTTTAAAGCGGATTCAATAACAAAGAGGAATAATTTCCGGAATCTAAATCTGTAATCGGTTTTTAGTCATTATATATCAAAGAATTAAAGCCGCGACTTCAGAGGCTATTAAATGGAAATTATTATATTATTCTGAGTTTTTGAAATAGATTCTTACTTTTTGTTCAAACTTTAATGTTCGTACCATTTTAACTGAACTAAGCAATAAATATCGCAAGCTCAAGTAAAAACTAGAATATAGTGTAAATAGTTATAATTAAAATTTCATCCTCCATTAATCCACCCTCCATCCATCCTTTATTTATTTAGGAGCAGGTTTTTTCTTCACTATTAAAAGGGACCACTTTTTGACATAAATTAATTCTTTAAATCGGTTTGTTAATTTTTTGAAAAGTCTATAAATATACATTTTAAGTGGTAGAGCCATGCTGCAGTTATATTAGTAGTAGTATAGTTGTAGCATGAATGGGTCGGCCCGACCGGGGGAAGGACCATGCTGTCACAGAATACCAGCGTGAAATAGTAGCTTGATGCTGCTGAGTTTCGTATGTTGAGTGTAGAGAACCGGAAACCCTTTTTACTGGAAATGAGGCATTCCATATTAGTCCTCACGGATGACAACGCATCTGCATTTTGATTCGTAATCAAAGATAAATGTAGATGTCTATGGGCCACAGCAACCACTTACCATCAGGTGGACTGTTTGCTCGTTTGTCACACTATCCTATAAAAAATGAAAACATTAGCGTCTAATAAAGAAAATATATATATATATATATATATATATATATATATATATATATATATATATATATATATATATATATATATATATATATATATATATAAATAAGATCGTTCCACTTTTTGAATTCGGTTAATGAATGCGTTAATTTCTGTCCTTGAGACGAAAATCGATACTTAATAGTCTAAACATCAAAAGTAATAGACGTCTAACGCCATCTAGTGTTCAAAAACGGAATGACTTTCCGATGGATTCAAAAAGTAATTATTAGAGAAAGCTTTTGCTTCGTCTTTATATTAATAATAATTTTAGGTATTTCATACCTAAATAAAAATAATGTTCGATACCATTTCGTGCAACGAGTTTTAATAGATATTACATTCATACGTCATTTTGATACATGCAGTCTAGGTATCAACTAATCATTCACCATACAGTCCATCAAAAGTGTACTGCTGTACATAGACGTATTTGCCATAGTTGCCACGCTTGGCAGACGGGTTGGATGCAGTAGTTTTTTTTAAATATTTTAGTAGTTATTATAAAGACACTGCTGCCAATCTCTTGGTTTGTCTCCCTCTGTCGCCTCTTAGAACACCCACGGGACGATATGGGGTGGGTGATATTCTAAAACCGTCACTGCACAAGTGCAAATGTGAAGAATGATCAAAAGCATGTCAGAACTGTAAACTACGTTTAAGGGACTGAGCTACTTATATCTACACCACTCTAAAAAAGTTATAAATAAATAAACCAAAAAACGACGAGCACCTGGTGAATCATTAGAACTCCATAATAATACGTTACCAGTTTTTTGCTCGGGGGCGTCTGTATATATTACATGTATGTATTGTATTATAATAAAGTTTATCAAAAGTCCACAGGTGAACACAGGCTTTCTAAATAGAGAGACATATACCATAGTGACCATTTTGGAAAGGAGGTCGATTGCATTTTTTTTTAAATAATATTTGAGTTGTTTCAAATTCCGTTTCTTGCCTGTTACGTGGTAATATTACAGGATTTTTCGAACCATCTTTCTGTTTTCTTTTTTATTACTGTAACTTCTCTAAGGCAGTAAGCTGTTGTAGCTACAAAGACATCTTTGGTATCTTTCCACTTTATCATAGATATAGGCCTGATATAAAAAAATAAAAACTCGCCTGTATTGAGACGTCTTTCTTTCATATTTTTGCTATAAACTTCTGGTAGACCTTTTCGGTTACTTTGAATTGTTCCCACAGAATAAATTTGTCTTTGTAGCATTGCTGCAAGTACTCCTAAACTCGTAAAAAAATTGTCAAACACCAGTAAGGTGTTTGTAGGTACATTTTTAGACAAGTCTAGAACAACTCTATATTCAAGATTTTCTTCACTGGCTGTACCCATTTTTCCAGTATAAATTTGAAACCGGTATAGAAATCCTGTTTTAGCATTACATCTCGCCCAAGACTTGTATCCCCTATTTATTGGTTTCTTGGGCATATACTGCTTCATTGAGCTTCTTTCCTTGAACCGAATCATAGACTCGTCAATATATTGGTTTGAAGATTGGTCATATACCTCTCCAAATGTCACACTCAACATATAAATGAATGGTTGGATTTTACACAGTTTATTGTAATGTTGTGAATTCCTTGGTAGTTCTTCTCTTATATTAGAAATATGTAGGTTTTCTGTGATTTTTTGAAACGTTTTAGAATCATTACCCGGCATATTAAGTGATTATTATAGAAGGGATCAGTGCTCCAGTAAAGCTGGTAATCAGATAAAAGATTCACAGACATTAGTATAATTATCCCAAAATATGTAGATAATTCTGTTTTTGTAATGTCAATATAATGTCTGGAATGTTTTGCTTCTGCATAGACGTTAGTATATTTTACAATAAGATCCAGTGCTTCTTCAGGACACATATCCATGAATTAATCTTTAGGCTAACTGAGAATATTTTTTTCCTACTGTCATCGGCCTATCAAATATAGGACAATCAAAATCTTCAATATCATTTGTCCACTGCCAGTTTCTATTTTGTAGCTGTGCATAACTGGGCACGCTTGAAGATATTGAAGGTTGATTGCTTGAGCTTGGAGTCATGATTTGTGTTTCAGCATGAATTACTGGAGCAGGCGTTGGCACATGAACCAAAGGAGAACTTACAGGTAAGTGAACATCGGGGACAGGCATTGGCGCATCAACCTGAGGACAACTTGCAGGGCAACGATGAGGAGAACTTGCAGGTGAGTAAATTTCAGAGAAGGGCGTTGAGACATCAACCGGAGGAGTACTTTCAGGTAAGTGAATTTCAGGGGCAGGCATTGTGACATCAATTGAAAAAGAATTATTTTTCAGTTCCGGTTGGAACTGAAAAATAATTTTAATTTTATAATTTATACAATACTGCCTAATATTTATTTCTCAATCTAAGGTCACTGTACCTTAGATTGAGAAATAAATATTAGGTTCATACCTGATAATATTTCATACAAACCTTGGCCCGTAATTATATCTTGAATAAAGTCTAGTCTGTTATTCAACACTTCTCTTGAATTCTCGTCATTATCGGCAGCGTCGTTGTCTTCTTCAGAAGACACCATATCTTGTAATGTTTTATATAACTCGTCACAGTCTTCCTGACTTATCACAGAAAAGATCTTTCGTTTCTTAGGAGGCTGCAATCAAAGAAATAAATGTATAAATAACAATTGAAACATTTTAGGGTGGTAAAAACATTCAATCAACGCACTAAAATAGTCTAAAATAAAATAAATTTTGAACGTATGAAAATAAGTAAGTCGACAATTGGGCTGTAGGCATATATTTCCCACGTATTTGCATAAGAATTTTAGTACATATAAAACTCATTATGCACTTCAAAAATTAGTACATCGCACAAAGAAACAACAAATCTACAAAATAAAAACGTATCTGCCTACTTACCGCATTTTTTTGGGCATTGTAATTATTTTTATGAGAAACTGACACTAAACCACGAACATTCACTGAGTAACCTCAAAGTAATAAAATGAATTCGACATTAACAGTAAAATGGTACGTATCGTTACGTACTGGTACGTTCAGATTGACGCACTTACATTCCTCGACATAGACAATATTACTGCCAGTGTAGGTTTGACATATTGTGGGAATAGGTTGGACTCAGCTCGAATAAAACCTAAAAAAATATCGTGGGAAACATTTTCCTTCAGTCCAATCAAGGGATAAACCATTGAAAATTTAAAGAACTACTTGAGGAATTACAAGGTAATTATGGTGATGTAGTCCTATACACTTCCGTCAAAGGAAAAGTTCTGGAACGGTTCTTTCATTTAAAATCCGAAATAATTCTATTTTTTTACAAAAAAGTGGTAAAGAATATCCTCAACTTCTCAACGATGAATGGTGGGCACTGAAAACTTTTTAGATGTTATTACCAGGAAGTTTAATAATCTTAATTTAGAGTTTCAAGGGTCTAACAAGATAATCTGACAAATGACGAATAAAATATTTGCATTTTAATTTAAACTTCAATTATATATAAATGAGGTCCAAGCTGGAGACTTTTCTAATTTTCCAACCGTTGCAGCTGTGCAATCAGAGGTGTCTATTTCCGATAGTATTTATCAAGATATGGTTTCCTACTTAATGGAATATTTGTCAAAAATTCAAAAAAGATTCAATGATGTGAGAAATATTAAGAACTATTTTCTTCTTGTAGTAAACCATTTGTGTGATCTACTAATATTTGTTACGTGTGTTCTTTTTGTCTGTTCATGGTAAACTAGTTAATTCTTTGAGTTGGCAAATAAAAACTTCACATTAGTTACATTTATCAATTGCCAGAAAAATCTAGGGGTAATCGGGTTGACAGCTTACAAAAAAATGTGTCAATTGATTGGTGGTGTCAACTAAACAATACAAAAATGTGCGGCCCGCTGTGATACCTCACATTGTCCTGTGTGGCCCTTGACCAGATAGGTGTGATGACCACTGCCCTAAGCGATTTCGCGACGCTGCAGTAATTTACACATGTGCCTGTCAATAAAAATGGAATAATGAGTTAAACGCTGGATGTTTTGTTAAGCAATCACTCATAGCAGATGTGCAGTTTGAGCATACATGTCACACTATAATGTCTGAATTATTATATCGCTCACCACTAATCACTCGTCTTAAAACGTTAAAATTAATAATTTGCAAAAAATATAATTCCTAAAAGCACCGCCGATATAATTAACTGCAATGTCCCGAGTTGATTTTCAGTGTTTTCGGCAGTGAAAGAAAACGTCGTGAGGAAGACTGGACGAATTCTTGTCAAACCTTTGTCCACGTCCTATGCACCATGATTTTTGAGATCAATAGAAGATCGGCTTAGATTCTCACTACGATGCCAATTATATTATTCACTTGCCAAAAGAGCGTTGATTACTAACTCATACATAGTTTTATACTTAAAGTTTATACCTTGCCGACTGGACTTGCCTTAAATATAAAAGCAACATTTTCAACACAGTAGTTGGGCCTTGTATACAAGCATGTCAATAAGAGTTATGCCCGTAAAACTTACTATATCATACGCAGAGCTCGTAGCTCGTAGCTCGTAGCAGTAAAAATACCAACGGCTCAATATTTCACATTAATCGACATCTTGGTATAGCAGCGCCGCGTCGCTTAAAGAAAACGACGTATTTCGAACGCCTTGACAAATCTCACCTGTATGCACAAGGGTATGTAAACGCTTGTATCTAACATTTTACATTTATTGTCAAGGAGTAGATAGTATGCTCGTAGCCACTTTCTGAATTAAAATTTTATTGGGTCACAGCACAATAACAAACAAAAGGATACATCCAATCTAAGTCGTCTGCATTAATTTTGTAAGCATCCAGACCGACAACGCTTCTGTGATTCCTGTGGCGTCGTGAAAATCAATGGGCGGCGGTGATCTCTTACCATATTAGGTGAGGTACGGCGAGAGCTTAAATTTTGTCACAATTAAAATCTCGGCCCAGCTCTACTTCCATCATCATTACCCTTTAAAGTCCACTGATGGACAGCAGGCTCTTCTACTGCAGGGTGAATTTATAGCAATACCATACGTATTTTTAATGCTTTACCCTTATGTTTTGATACTGCTTGCCAGCGCCGTTCTATAGGTAATAACGCGTAACGCCATCTATCGGAAGCTACGCGATATTTTGGCATTTATTATGGCCGCTTCTTACGTCACCCTAGGGATGAAATAGGTCGATGGATTATTTTACGTCACCCCACGGTTCCATATTCCCTCCATTTGTAATTTTTCAATATAACTCTCTATGTTCAACACAAGTCACGTATGTTTAATATAATACGGTAAAAAAATTAAATCAGAAAGGATGAAATTAATTTCTGTTGTATCTATGTTCTGTTCTTGTGAGAATATCAATATGCTCACTCTGACAAGGAAGCTTAGCGATTTCTAAGTACAGTGAGCATACCTACTAAAGATCTCGTTCTTCAATATGAAGTGTGTGTTAGCGGACTTCATATGTTCCCGAAATATGTTTATTTCTCAGAATGCAGGTTTTATCATGATTATATTCTATACCGACGATCACCTAGTGAATCATCACTTCAAATGCAATTGACATTTTTGATTGAACTATCGAGTATTGAATCCAGATCGAGTGAAGTTAGCTGCGAGCGTTTTGCCCCTGAGATGCATTGGCTCTTAACAACTTATTTATCCTCATAATATTCTCTTTGCAAATTATAGAAAGGAATGCACTACTACGAAAAAACGATTGCTTGTGATCGATTATTTATTTCTTAAATCTCCTTAAGGCTACAGTCTTTTAAAGTTGACTCACATCGAATCATTAGCGCCACTTTGATTTCTTTTTTTACAGCAAATTATTGTTTCAGAGTAAAATATTTTGATAACACATAAATACCCAGATTATAAGTAATGGCTAAATTTTTTTTTGGTTCATCTATGTGGTCTATGTTAGATAAATCAAACGGTAAATAGAGCTCTCTCGCACCCAACGCAATTTCGAGCTTTGTTCGTGTACCATTATAAGGCAATCGATAATAAAAACGCGAAATCTATTCAGCGCGTTAATAGCTAAACATCTTCATCTCCAAAATGCGCTGTTTCTTTTTTTCTAAATATCTTTCATTGTCTTAAATAAGAGGTCTCAATTTCGTTAAATTTCGCTGTTTTCGCCTCATAAAAAACTATTTGTTTCATAGCAATAGCTGAAAATATTTATGCTATAATTATTTTTTTCTCAAGGGCAGGTGTTTAATTAGACAAATATTAAAAAATAATAATTTAAACCACTTTATTTCAAAATTAATAATTATTTCGATCGACCTATAAAATATTGACTTTATAAACAATAATTGCGGGCAATATTCCTTAGTAGCCGCTGAGCGGCTGTAGCGTTCAGACGTCTTGTCTGTGCCAAATTTTTGCACTTCCTCTCGCTCTAACATTCCTCTTTCTCTCTCTTTCCCTAATCTTGGTTGCGCATTGTTACGAATTGAAAGTTGCTCTACTTTATTATTTTTTGCATATAATTCTTTAAGGGTTTATAAATCATTTTGTATTTGTTTTATAACTTTTAATTTCGATATGGACCATAAACGTAAAAAATATGCTTGTACCAGAAAACGAAAATTGAAATCAAACGTTGAAGCAATGAACAGAAATAGAATTCAAAGGTAAGTTTTTTTGTGTTTCATAGTAAAATAGTTAACACCCTCCATACATCATTCAAGCCATTGCGAATAAATTAAAAAAAAGCGCTAAGTCGTCCGTCGATGCTGCTGTACAAGAATAGTAATTCATGCATATAGGTAAATGCTATACAAAGTTACATTATACTTTAATGAGAAACTATAAATATGTGTGATAGTGGACTGTTTGTACTTATATAGAAATTATTTTGAGTTTTTTTTTAATCTATTTTAGTATTTAGAACTACTTGACGTACTTGACGGATTTTCGATAGTGTCATCGACTTATTACGAAACCCTCAGTGCACGACTCATTCTAGCACTTGCCAGATTCATTTGAATAATCAATAATACGAGTACATGTTATACAGGTTCTAGATGATTATCTTTTAGAAACCTTTTCAACAAAACAACAAAAATTATACAAACTTAAAATATTTTTTTTTGTGTAACGAATTTTGTAATAAAAGCATGGAACAAAAATAGATACGAGGTAGAAAATCTGTATGTGAAAATTTGTTAGCTAATTATCAATAATCCTGTATATTAGATAAATTGATACTGGAAAATCTTAGTAGAGCAACTTTCCACGCTACGGCCAGAAAGATAACTGCGGTGGCGGTACATGAAGTGGCGGGGCAGGGAGGGTGTAGATGTGTCACCAGAACGCAATTTTTCTGTTTTGCTCTGAAAGACTGGGCTCTTAAATACAGCACCTTAAAAAATTGCCAAAGAGTATTTCAACATATTGATTACGAATCTGATATACATATGTCAGATTCGTTATCAATATGTTAAAACTGGTAATGTGCTTTTAGGAAGTTTGTGCTACTACATAACAGCAAAAACTCCATTAAATACATAATATCAC